TTTTCTCATTTCACATTTTTATTTTGTAACGTGATATTTTCATTATTTTTTAAGCCAGCTTTATTGCATTATAATTTACATACAATAAATTGATCAGGCTTTTTTGTTTGTTTTTTGAGGAGTTTCGCTCTTGTTGCCCACGCTGGAGTGCAATAGTGTGATCTTGGTTCACCGCAACCTTGGCCTCCCCGGGTTCAAGCAATTCCCCTGCCTCAGCCTCCTGAGTAGCTGGGATTACAGGTATGTGCCACCACGCCCAGCTAATTTTGTATTTTTAGTAGAGATGGGGTTTCTCCATGTTGGTCAGGCTGATCTTGAACTCCTGACCTCAGGTGATCCACCTGTCTCAGCCTCCCAAAGTGCTGGGATTATAGGAGTGAGCCACTGCACCAGGCCAATAAATTGATCAGTTTTAAGTGCATAATCCTATGAGTTTTGACAAATGTATTCAGTTGTGTAATTACCATCACAGTCAAGATAAAACATTCCTATCTCTACCAAAATTTCCTCCTATCCCTTTGCAAGCACTCTTCCATCTCCCCCAGCCCATAACTTAAATTTCTCTTGTTTGATATCAGTACAGATGTTCCTTGATTTAGGATAGGACTATGTTCCGAAAAACCCATCATAAGTAGAAAGTAATGTTAGTCGAAATTGCATTTAATACGATGATAAATTCATCATAAAGTCAAAGAATCCTACGTTAAATTAAGTTGGGGACTGTCTGTATATCGCCTCTGGTTTTTAAAATAATATTTAATATTTTCCTGGTGTCTCTTTCCATGTCTTTATTTTGCAAATTTATCAACTGAAGTGTGTTTCTCTTATGTGTACCTAAATTTGATTTATAACAAAATCTGACAGTCTTTTAATGGTAGATTTCAGTCCACTTGTATTTACTGTAATGAGTGATATATTTGATTTTCTTATTTCCATCTTGTTTTACAAATTTTTATATTGTTAATTCTTGTTTTTTTAATCTTTGCTGGATTGAATAAATTGCTACTCATTTAATTTTTCTCCTAATTTGGAGTTTGTCCTTCTATTAATAGTTACCATCCCTATCCCTGCTCTCAGATACACGAGTCTTCTAGTGTATGAAACAACAGCTACTATTTCCAGAATACTCTAATTATCTTCTATTTCCTCCCCATCCCAATAAAATGTTATCTTTTTTTTTTTTCTTTTTTTGAGACAGAGTCTTGCTCTTGTTGCCCAAGCTGGAGTGCAACGGTGCGATCTTGGCTCACTGCAACCTCCACCTCCTGGGTTCAAGCAATTCTCCTGTCTCAGACTCCCAAGTAGCTGGGATTACAGGCGCCTGCCACCTTGCCTGGCTAGTTTTTATATATTTAGTACAGACAGGTTTCACATGTTGGTCAGGCTGGTCTCAAACTCCTACCTCAGATGATCCGTCTGCTTTGGCCTCTGAAAGTGTTGGGATTACGGGCGTGAGTCACTATGCTCGGCCAAAATGTGATCTCTAGATTGCTTTCACTACCCTTCCTTCCTCCCCACCTCTCCCTGTCTTAGACTTCTGGGACACTTCCCCTTATCCCTACCGCCTGACTCCACAGTTTTAATGAGATAATTTACTCGTTATTAGAATTTCCCTTATAGTGTGTTCCATCTGTTTTAAGAGTCCTTATTTAGCATGTACGTTACACATCATGAATAGACATGGTTCATTGCTCCCCACTGCTTTCTTGCTTCTTCTCTTCCCCTGTCTTGAAGTCTCTGTCAGGATTCATTTGTTGTTTATCAGAGTCTCTTCTCAAAAATATTTCTCAGATGAGGTACTCAGTGATTTCTGCAAATCTTTTTTTCTTCCTTGGCCGGGTATGGGTTGCAGGGCTTTTCTTTCATTAGCCCACATTCCATTTTGGGGTCTTTTAACTCCCAGGGTTGCAAATGAGAAAAAAAAACTTGCTTTCTGCCTAAAAATATGTAAGATTTCCTATATTCTTAGAGTTTGGGAATTTTTACCTATATGTAGTTGAGTGTGTGTCTTTTGGTTTCAATTGGATCTGGAACTTAACTCTTTCTTCAGCTTAAAGAAATTCCATCGATTATTTAATTTTGACCTTTCCTCTCCCGTTCCATTTTCTCCCGGAGCCCACAGCATTTGCAGGTTAAGTCTACTGGCTCTGTTCTAGGCTCCTACCTTCTACCACATATTTACATCTCTATATTTTTGTGACACGTTTTGAAACATTTTTTCTATTTGATTTTCTAGGCCTATTTTGGGGTTTCAGCAATGACTGGACTCTCCTTTGATTTATCTATGGAAATTTTTAGTTCTGAGATCACATTTTCTAGTTCAAGGAAACCTTTTGTGTTTGAGCTTCACACATATCTCTTCCAGGCTCTCATTTTTTCTGTCAGGGATACAGCTGTCTCTGCCAGCAGGTTCCTCTGCCCTCTGGTTTTTCTGCATTTTCCCAGCCTCAAGGGCTGAGAAATTCAATCCACAATTAGTTTTGAGGGGAGTTAAGACCCAGAGGAGCCACGATTGTCCTTGGGAAGCAGGTTGTCTCTGAGACTTGCTTTCTTCCTGAAGGTCCTTGCTTTTGGCTCTGCAGCTGTTCTCCAGAATTTGTCTGCAAAGAATTCTCTCTGCTAGGAGCCCAAAGGAGCCCACTTAAAGTTTGTCATCTATAGCTGGAGCTGTCAGAGATGGTGTGGAATGGAGAACATCACTAGTTTCCTAGAATTCTCTTGCTCTGAGAGGTCTAAGTATTACTATTAACAAATACTGTACAATGATAATCACCAAAACACTTAAAGCCAGAAACTGTTAAAAGTAGTTCCCTAACTTTGACAGGGAACTATGACAGGGAGTAGGAATGGGGATGGGGGATAGAGCCTTTTACTTTTCTTCCCCCACGCTAGGATTTCCCACCCTCAGCACTGTAAATGTGGGGTGAGAAACTCCTTATTGTGGGTATCTGACCTGAGTTTTGTAGGTTAATAGCATCCTTGACCTCTTTCCACTAGCACCCCCTCCCCAGCTGTGACAACCAAAAATGTTTCCAGACATACCCTAAATGTTTCCTGGAGGGGGTGGGAGGCGAAGTCACCCCTGGTTGAGAACCACTGTTGTGTAGCCTTTGGTTCTATTTGATTTTTTTTTTTTTTACCACGTGCACATGCTATTTCTATAATTAAACATTTAACTGAGGTCACAAGACAGAGGAAGAAATATGAAGCTGCTGGTTGGAGGCAGAACAGTGAAGTAGAAAATATACAATAAAAGATAGGGAAGCAAGTTAGCTAAGTGGGAAGAAATTGAATATAACTAAAAGACGCAGAAATGAAGAGAGTATCCGAGTCTTGGAACTAGAGGAGCAAGATCCTGAAGTCCCACATACTCCTGCCACTGAGGTCCCCAGCACTGCAGAGATCTGAGATCCGATAACAGTCTGCAAAGGTCTAGTCACACCATAGCCACTGTTCTGGGATTCCCATTCCATTTAGGCCTCCTGATGGCCCCATGTGTCCTTATGACAAACACTGCTTCACTTAAAGAGTCGATTCCTTACAAACAAAGGCCTGGTAGACTTAGTGCCCAAAGATATGGCCCCCGACTTGTTTGTGTTGCCAGTGCTAGATTCGCTTCTTAGTGCACACTTTAAGGATCAAGCTGAACAATGGGAGTGATGAGTAGGCTGCAAATAAAGTCTGTAAAAGAACCAGCTGGGCACAATGGCTCACACCTGTTAAGCCCAACAATTTTGGAGGCTGAGGCAGGCGGATCACCTGAGGTCAGGCATTCAAAACTAGCACCTGGCCAACATGGCAAAACTCTGTCTCTACTAGAAATACAAAAATTAGCCTGGCATGTTGGTGTGTGCCTGTAATCCCAGCTACGCGGGAGGCTGAGGCCGGAGAATCCCTTGAACCTGGGAGGCGGAGGTTGTAGCGAGCCAAGATCATGCCACTGCACTCCAGCCTGGGCGACAGAAGAAGACTCCTTCTCAAAAAAAAAAAAAAAAAAAAAAAATGTAGAAGGCACTTTTAGAAACCTTCTCCTGAAAAGGAAAGACCTAAGCCATTTGTAAGGACTGGCTCCCAATTCCTCCAGGACTGTCTGGCCAGTATTGGCAGAACCACTGAGACAAGTAATGAGGAAGCAGAGTTTGGTTCCAAATTTTAAAAGTTCTATCAATAAGAAAGATTGGAAAAGAGTCCCTGGTAAGGTAGTGAGGTCCTTACCATGGAGAAGTTCAGTATCTCTGGAAGTATTCAAGAAGAAACTCATAGGGCAGTTCCTAGAGTGGGTATAAGTTTGGGCCAGATCTGTCAGCCTCCTTTTGGCTGTATGATTCTAGACATTTATAAGCTAGACAAGAGATCTGATTAACTCATATGTTAAGCAGAAATATCTTAGGGTCAAATAGCATGACAGTACATTTAAGTCAGAGGAGGGTGGCTCATGGAGGAATTGGGCAGTAAGTGAAGATATCAGAGGTCCAGCATCTTCAGCTGCCTCTGGTCTGTTGGTCTTTCCCCCACAGAATTAGTCAGAGCTCGTGTTTGCAAGAGATAGAAAACATAACCTTGACTTAAGCAAAAAAAAAAAAAAAAAAAAAGGAATTCATTAGCTTACATAGCCAAAAACTTCAGCTGGCAAGTCTAACTCTGGGCATGGCTGAATTCAAGGTTTCAAATGAAGTCATTAAGACTCGGTCTGGGCTACTGTGGTGCCTCATGCCTGCAATCCAAGTGGCTGGATCACTTGAGGTCAGGAGTTGCAGACCAGCCTGGCCAACACGGAGAAACCGTGTCTCTACTAAAAATACAAAAATTAGCAGGGCATGGTGGTGCACACCTGTAATCCCAGCTACTAGGGAGGCTGAGGCAGGAGAATTACTTGAACCCGGGAGGCGGAGGTTGCAGTGAGCCAACGTTGCCTCAGTGCACTCCAAGCTTGGGCAACAGAGCAAGACTCGGTCTTAAAAAAAAAAAAGACTTGATCTGTATTATGCATTGTATGCCTATATCAAAATATCTCATGTACTCCATAAAGATATACACCTACTATGTACCCATAAAAATTAAATATTAAAAAAAGATTTGGTCTTTCTCCACATCCCAGCTGTTTTCCTCGTAACAAAACCAAGCTGGAAGTTTAAACCCATCTTTGAGACTGCAGAGCAGGGCCAAAGACGAATGGGCCCTGGCCAGATGGCTTCCAAAGACCCTCCCCATCTGTAAGTGATTTCTTAAGAACTTCCTGCTGTTGAACCTTTGACTGTCCCGGAGACCATTCCTCTTCCGTTTTAAGTGTGTCCCTATCCTCCAAGCTGGGCTTTAAGGAAGAGGGGGGACAGCTGGAGCCCCAGGGGCCCTAGGGACTCCCCCTGAGGGTCTGTCCCTGGGAATGGAGCACCGGGACCGGCACTCCTTCTGGCTGGAATGCTACACCGGCGAGGGAAAGGAGTCTACTAGGGAAGTACCCGGAGCTAGAGATGGGGAGAGAAATCACAGTTCGTAAGATGAGTTGATAAACTAGAGGGTGTGGCGAGGGGGACCCTTGGAAGGCGTCTAGGTTCAGAAATCAGTCGGGAATCTGCCCAGTCTTAGTGTTCAGGACTGAGGCCCTGGGCCAGAGGACGCGCCTCGGTGATAGAGACGAGGTAAGAAGGTAAGAAAACGGAACGGCGGTACCAGAGAGAAGTCAGAGGATCCGGGCTGGGGGGCTGGAAGGAAAACAATAGTTCAAATCGTACCCCGCTTCTGTCACACATGAAAAATAAAATTGTTTTACAGAAACTCAATTTACAAACGACTGTTTGGGAGCAGTCATGTCACCCAGTCCAGAGGGAGCCGGTACGCTGCGTTCCGCGAACTTGGGAGGCGACTGCGGGGAAGCGGCGTCCTCATTGCGCGGTCAGGGGCAATACCTATGGGCGGTCCCGAAGCGTCAGGACTAAAACTCCCAGAATGCCGCGGGCCAGCCTGCAGCTCGCCTGCGCAGACGTGGTGGCAACTCCGCCCCTCGCCGGGCGGCGGCGCTACAAGCTCAGTCCTAAACCGGCGGAGGCGGCTAGCGGAGGGTGTCTGGGCCGGCCGGGTTCGCCGGAGAGATTTGCGGGCTGGGTTGGGGGCGTTTGAGCCCTTGGCTCTTCCCAGTGGGTAGGCGGGACCCCAACCCCCGCCTCCTGCAGGGTAAAGCTCTCACGTCCACCTGGCGCGACGCTGAGCCATCTTCTGAAGCACCACAGTCCTCAGACCCCCACATCCCGCTGCCGGTGGTTCCCCGCATCCGGTGTCCGCCCCCCTGAAGCCTCCTTCCCTCCCACGCAGCCTCAGCTCTCTGCCCTTAACCGCGACCTGGGCCTCTCCTGGGGAGGCCCAGGGTGAAGTCCTCAGAAGTCCAGGGACCCAGGGGCATTTGTGGGGTGTGTGGGGGAGTGGACTTTAGGGAAGGGTGGTTCCCTTCAAATTGGGACCACCAGGCCAGAATCAGGCCCACAATTTCCTCCTGTGTGGCTTCCTGTGGCACTCCAAGTGGGAAAGAGAGAAGCTTGGAAGTGAAAGCCTCGACTTCTGCTTTCTTCAGCCCCTGAAACCTCTGAAAGATCTGACAAGCGGGGCCCGCCTCTACAGAGGCTTGGGGGAGATGGCCTAGACCTTGAAATATCCTAGAAGGGGTTTGACAGGTTGGGGCTTTTGCTAGAGATGGATCACAGATGGGTTGCAAGAAAGGTGGGAGGGGCAGCCAATGGACTAAGGAGTAGAGGGTGTGTGTGTGTCGGGGGCGGGGGGGAGGGGGTTGCCAGGTGAGGGAGGTGATGAGCTGAACCAATTTGGAGCTATGCTGTATTATTATGATGAGGATTTGCGTTGGGGATTGTTACAGGCTGTAACCAGAAAGCTGGAAGGTGTGATAGGTGGGCCTTTTTTTAAAAACCCTAAATAGCTCTGTAATCCATCCCTCCTCTGCATCCCCACCGCTATGGCCACCATCCCCTCTCACTAAAATCTTACAACAGCCTCTGAAAGGTGCCACCTGACTCCAGACTGACACTAAATCAGCACAGCAGCCAGTGGAGTTAGAGCCTTTAGGTCCCTGTATTCATCCTCGCTTAAAAACCTTCAGTGACTCCCTTTCACCTTCCCTGCAGGATAAAGCCCAAGCTCCTTGGCATGACTTACGGGCACAGTGTGATCTGGCTTCTGCCTGCCCCTCCAGCCTCATCCTGCCATTGCCCCCATCTTACTCCACCCTCCAGCTGTGCCTAATGTCCTTCTGCCAGGTCCTCTGAATAAGCCTCTCCTTTGCCTGTGGCTCCCTCTGCCTTGGAGCATTTTCTGTCGTTCACCTCTCCTGGCAAACTTCTACTATGTGTCATGTCTCTGCTTAGAAATCACTTCACCTGTGAGCTCCCACAGATGATCCTATGTTTCTCTTATTTTAATAATGCCTAGCATTATTGAGAATTTATTGTCTAAATGCCTTACAAATGGTAACTCATTTAGCCTCTCAACAACCTTTTTTTGAAGTAAACACCAATAATATCCTCCCGATCTTACAGATTCAGAAATTGAGGCCCAGTTGCCCAAGAACACACAGCTGGTAAGTGGTAGGCATGGAATTTGAATGCAGGCAGTCCAACTCCTGAGGCCAGAGTCCTAATCTCTGTGGCAACCAGCTGACTGTATGGGACAGGAGGCTGGGGCATGTATGTAGTATGCTGTATGGGGTAGAAGGCTGGGGTTAAGAATCAGCAGATGATGGGTAGACAGGCAGGACAAATTGGATGGGGATTAAAATGAAAGGGGTGACAAGCAAAACTCTTGCCGAGACTGCAGGTGACAACTGAGAGAGTGAAGGCCAGGTGTGGTGGCTCACGCCTGTAATCCCAGCACTTTAGGAGGCCAGGGTGGGAGAGAGTGAGTGGAGATGGACTGCTGCCGTGGTGACAGGGTAAGGAGAGGGCCTCTGGGGGTATACGATGACTAAATGCAGATAAGGTTACTGATGTCAAAACAGGGGTATAGCTGGGGACTCATGGCAGACAGGGGGAGGTCAGGTGGGGGACTTGATGAAGGAGCCAGGGTGGCAGGTCGTGGTGGTGGTGGCAATTATAGAGGTGAAGGGGAGAGTAGCTCAGCGCTGTGAGCTTGCAGCCCCCAGGGAGAACGTGGTGGCTCTCAGTGCAGATCCCAGGGGTGTTCTAGCAGCAGCAAGAGCAGCTGCGGAGCTGGGCTTCAGCCCTCCACCACGGCACCCACCTCTGCAGCATTGATGCCACAGCCTCTCTTGGCCCCTCATCCCCCGCTAGCCACCCAAAGAAACAGCTCCATGCAGACAGCAAGGTTCACACCCTCATTTGCGGGGCCCGTTGCAGGTCTTCAGCCTTCTAGGTTAAAATCTAAACACTTTTTGAAAAGTTTTATTTGAACACTTGGGGACAAGACAGAGACAGCAGGATGGAGACTATTCTCCTGCCAGGGTTCTCAGGTCAAAAGCCAGGCTCGGTCTCTCTGGTCTCTAAGTTCCAGGTCCCCTCCAGTCTGTGGGTTCCCAAGGAATATACCCACCCACCTACTGTCAGGCTCTTACCCCCTCCCCCACCACCCACTTCCTGTGCCTGAGGAGACACTGAGGCGTGGGGGTAGTCTATGAGGGAGTGGGGGTGGGGAGGATCTGGTTAAACTCCAGAAGAAGGAAGTGAGAACCTGGAGTTTGGGGCCTAAGAGGAACAGATAGAAAAAAGAAATGAGGACGGGGCTACTGTCTTTGCCTCCTCCATCATGAAAGCTTTGCCCTGAGATGTCTCCCTCGAAGCTCAGATAGGAAGTCCAGGGTAGCTCACGTCCTGTGACTTGGCAATGGCGCCCAACTTTGGGGCTGGTTGGGAAACAGTCATGCCCCTGCTACTGGGGGCTGGGGCAGTGCATGTCCTGCTGTGCCAGGCCCTCCATCTCAGCTGGCTGCAGGCTGGCTGTTGGCATAAGCCTGATCGGGGAAGGAAGCCCGGGCCCTGCGAGTCTGGGCACACACCGAGGCATAGAGCTCCGGCTCGGGACCCGAGGCCTGGGGCTTTGGCTCAGAGTCCAGCACCACCTCCGAGTACTTGATGGGGGTCCCAGGGCCAGGGATCCGGCCCTGAGGAGGCCGCAACTGCAGGCTGGTATAACACATCACCTCCTCTGCAGCCTGGAGATGCAAGGCTGTTAGAAGTTCACTGGACCCTCGGAAAAGCCGGAAAGCCCCCATTTCCTTCCCTCCCTTTTTCTCCAGCCATAGCTGACTCACCCTGGCAGAGCCTCCAGGAGTTGGATCTTGCTGGTTTGGCCCTGGGTCTTGAGACAGCCGTCCTGGGACAAGGAGCAGGAATCTGGTCAGCAACTTGTCCCTCCTCCTACGTGTCCCCATCCCACCCACCCAGGACCCGGCCTCTGTGGCCCTCCTCTCTGCCAGCTCCCTACCTGTCTGTAGATAATGCAGGTTTCCGTACAGTGGGACCTCTTCCACAGACCCTCCAGAGCTGCAACACAGAGTTTAAGGGATGAGTGGGGACTTCTTGGTAAGAGAGAACTCTCAGTCAACCCATCCCTGTTGTCCCTTACCCACCATCCCTGTCCCAGATGGCTCTTGCTCCGGCCCCTGGTCCACTGGGACAAGTGTGCGGCCAGTGAGATGAGAAACAGCAGTGTCATAGCCCATAAGAGGACCCACATTCCCCAGGCCTGGGTTATGGAGGGGATTCCTGTGGATGTGAAAGGAAGGGGGGGTATAACTGACCAGCCCAACCCCCAGGGCCCAGCAGGTGGCACCTGGGGCCACATGACCCCTCCCACCCAACCCCCGCCCAGCCCAGCTCACCCTGCACAAGTAGATTCAGGCAGGTGCAGTTGTCACCTCTGCTCATGGCTGCTGATGTGAGAGTCCACAAGCACACTGCTCTGAGCTGAGGGTCAGCCTGGTTCATGGCCTGCCCGCTTCCCCAGCCCTCCTCACTCCCACCTCTCCTCAGGCCTGGCCCCCACAGCTCAGCATCCCCAGTACTGGTGGTGGCAAAGTCTCTGGTTTCCGGAGAGGAAGGGGGAGGGGAGGGATGAGCAAAAGAACAAAGACCCCGCCCTGTGCCTGCACCTGCGCCACTCCTGCAGCTCCTAAGCTTCCCCCACCCTCATTGCCGGGGCCCTGTGCCCCCTTGAGAAGACAAGCAGGCCTGTGGGTAATGTGTCACGGGCAGTTGAGCCCCTGGGGACTCGGGGAGGTGAGGCAGAAGTGACGTGAGGCAGGACCAACAAGGATAAGAATGCCCCTTCTGCTCCAGGATGCCCACCTTCCTCCCCAACTCTGTGTCCTGGAAGAAAGATGTGTTCCTCAATGAGCATGGTATAAAGTAGAAGGGTCGTGGGGAGCTTCCTGGTACCTCTAATCCCATCACACCCTAAGGCTTATCTGAGAGGATATGTGTTTAGATGATGCTTGTTACTGTTTCATTGGGTTGGGGGCATTATAATTTGAGGGACACCCCCAAACCTCCTCTTTCAACCCACTTCATCCAAACTGTCCATAAGAACTGTCACTCTCAATAATTAATTGCATTTTAAAACTCTCTGCCCTAGGACTGTCCTGGGAAACTGAGCCCTGTCTTTGCACATGTTCACTTCAGGGGACAGTTATGGCAGTTATCTCTAGGTACCTGCCATACCTAGAGATAACTCCATCACATGCCAGGTTATTGATGTAGAAAGAAGAGAAGGATTTTAAGTTCCAAATATAAACATGAGACCAGAAGTCAAAGATACCTTTTGTCTAGCCCATATAACATTTTTTTTAAGTTTGAAATGAGTGCAGTGCCATGCCAACAATGGGGATGGCAGAAGTCCTGCCCCTTGAGTTGCAGACAGTAAGGGGCTGCAGAGGTGTCTGTAGAGAATGTAAAAAATAAAAATCAGTCCTCTTATCACCATGTTCCAGAAATTCTGAAAAAAAAAATCAGTGATTAAATTCTTCTCCCTGAAAAATACTTTATAGATGTAAGTTTTATTTTATGTTTTGAGAGACAGAGTCTTATTTTGTCTCCCAGGTTGGAGTGCAGTAGCACAGCTCAGCCCACTGCAGCCTTGACAACCTCCTGGGCTCGAGTGATTCTTGCACCTCAGCCTCCTGAGCAGCTAGGACTACAGGCGTGTGCCACCACACCCAGCTAATCTTGTTCATTTTTTGTAGAGATGGGGTCTCCCTTTGTTGCCAGGCTGGTCTCAACTCATGGCTTCAAGCAACCTTCCCACCTTGGTCTCCCAAAGTGCTGGGATTACAGGCATGAGCCGCCGCGCGCAGCCCACATCTAAGTTTTAAATTGCTGTGGTCGATCAGGTACAGTGACTCATTTCCTGTAATACCAGCATTTTGGAGATCAAGGCAGCAGGAAGATTGCTTGAGGCCAGGAGTACAAAACCAGTCTGGGCAATATAGTGAGACCCTCCATCTCTACTAAAAACAAACAGACAAAAATAGTAGTAAACAGCCTGTAGTCCTAGCTAGTCGGGAGGCTGAGATGGGAGGATCACTTGAGCCCAGGAGTTGGAGGCTGCAGGAAGCTATGATTGTGCCATTGCACTTCAGCCTGGGTGACAAAGAAAGAGATCCTGTCTCTGCATTAGGTACACAAATACCATTGTGTCACAACTGCTTACAGTATTCAGTACAGTAACATGCTGTAGGCATTGGAGCCTAGGAACACCAGGTTATATCATATAGCTTAGGTGTGTAATAGGCTGCACCATCTAGGTTTGTGAAAGGACACTCTGATGTTTGCACAATGACAAAATTGCCTAGTGACTCATTTCTCAGAACCGATCCCTGTTGTTAAGCAATGCATAACTGGTTTTATGTTGACATGATTATATTTACAAAGTTCAAGGAAAGAAAATATTCACTGTCTGAATTTATTTTCTGGCCCTCATTATTCATTTCATAATTATCAATGAACATAATTGTCATATAAATAATTTTTAAATTTTTTAAAATATTTATTTATTTATTTATTTGAGATGGAGCCTCACTCTGTCACTCAGACTGGAGTGCACTGGCGCAATCTCGGCTTACTCACCCAGGCTGGAGTGCAGTGGCGTGTCCGGCCTTAAAGCATTTTTTTAAATGAGCCACTTGAATAGTAAAAATTTGTTCTAGGCATGGTGGCTCATGCCTGCAATTCCAGCATGTTGGGAGGCTGCGTCAGAGGACTGCTTGAGCCTAGGGGTTTGAGACCAGCCTGGGCAACATGGCAAAACCCTGTCTTTAAAAAAATACAAAAAATTAGCAGGATGTGGTGGTGCACGCCTGTGGTCCCAGCTACTCGGGAGGCTGAGGTGGGAGGATTACTTGAGCCTTGGAGGTAGAGGTTTCAGTGAGCCAAGATCAAGCCTCTGCACTCCAGCCTGGGCAACAGAGTGAGACCCTGCCCTCACCAAAAAAGAAAGAAAACAAGAAAAATTTGTGTCTGGGCATGGTGACTCATGCCTGTAATCTGCACTTTGGGATGCTGAGGTGGGCAAATCATCTGAGGTCAGGAGTTTGAGACCAGCCTGGTCAACATGGTAAAACCCCATCTCTCCTAAAAATATAAAAAATAGCCAGGCGTGGTGGTGTGTGTCTGTAATCCCAGCTGCTCGAGAGGCTGAGGCACAAGAATCACTTGCACCCAGGAGGTGGAGGTTGCAGGGAGCTAAGATCATGCCGCTGCACTCCAGCCTAGGCAACAGAGCAAGACTCCATCGAAAAAAAAAAAAGAGAGAGAGAGAAAGAAGAAAGAAAGAAAAGAAAAAAGAAAAATTGGGGCCAGGTACAATGGCTCACACCTGTAATCACAGCACTTTGAGAGGCTGAGGTGGGAGGATAGCTTGGGCCCAGGAGTTTGAGACCAGCCTAACCAACATAGTAAGACTCCCATCTCTGCAAAAAATTAAAAATTAGCGAGACATGGTGGCGTGCTTGCCTGTAGTCACGGCTACTTGAGAGGCTGAGGTGAGAAGATTGCTTGAGCCTGGGAGATAGAGGCAGTGGTAAGCCATGATTGCACCACTGCACTCCAGCCTGGGAAACAGAGTGAGACCTTGTCTCAAAAATAAATTAATTAATTAAATAAAAGAAGGAAAGAAAAGAGAAAAGAAAGAAAAATGTTCTTTAAAAATGATCCAGGCCAGGCAAGGTGGCTCACACTTGTAATCCCAGCACTTTGGGAGGCTAAGGCAGGCAGATTGCTTGAGGCAAGAAGTTCAAGGCCAGCCTGGGAAACACCTGGTCTCAAAACACACACACACACACACAAACACACACACACACAAATTAGTTGGCCATGGTGGTGTGCACCTGCAGTCCCAGGTACTCAGAAGGCTGATCCAAGAAGGTCGAGGCTGCAGTGAGCCATGGTCTCACCACTGCACTCCTGACTGGGCAACAGAGGGAGACCCTGTCTTTTAAAAAAAACACCAAAATATCCACTTGGTGTCAAATATGCTAAGTATGCCACTGATTCCTTGTCAACAGTTAAAAATTAGGAGATTTCAAATTTTTAAAATCTTGATTTGTTGATTCCTTTGAAAAAAGATTTGCAATAGTGCCCTAAGTTCTCTAAAGGCAATAATCAGTTGGGGACCACTTATTATACCTGACTTGAACCCCTTATTTACAATATCGACTATGCCAACTGGCTTAGATTCAAGGTTTCTATTACCCTGCTCTGTGTACCCAGGCTGTCACGGGGTCATCAGGTAGACCACTGGTCCCCAGCCATTTTGGCACCAGGGATAGGTTTTGTGGAAGACAATTTTTCCATGCACAAGATGTGGGAGGAGAGAATGGTTTGGAATAAAACTGTTCCACCTGAGATCATCAGGCATTAGTGTTTTGCTTGGTTTCAGTTTTGACAGGGTCTTGCTCTGTCATCCAGGCTGGAGTGTAGTGGCAACATCTTGGCTCACTGCAACTTCCGCCTCTTGGGTTCAAGCAATTCTCGCGCCTCAGCCTCCCAAGTAGCTAGGATTACAGGTGCTTGCCACCACACCCAGCTACTTTTTATATTTTTAGTAGAGATGGGATTTTCTTTACCATGTTGGCCAGGCTGGTGTTGAACTCCTGGCCTCAAGAGATCTGCCTGCCTTGGCCTCCCAAAGTGTTGGGATTACAGGCATCAGCCACTGCGCCTGGTCTAGTATTCTCAAAAGGAGCCCACAACCTGTATCCTGTTCATGCACAATTCACAATAGAGTTTGGTTCTATGAGAATCTAATGCTGCGATGATCTGACAGGAGGCAGAGCTCAGGAGGTAATGCCAGGATAGAGAATGGCTTTAAATACAGATGAAGCCTCCCTTGCGCCTCCTGCTCACCTCCTGCTGTGCGGCCCAGTTCCTAACAGGTTATGAACCGTGGCCTGGAGGCTGGGGACCCTTGAGCTAGACTACGACAACTCCCCTTGGTGAGGGTTTCTCCCTTCCTGCTCTTCCTCCTCCTTTTTGGAAAAACAAGAAGACACACCCATATCTCATTTATCTTATTTATTTATTTATTTTGAGATGGAGTCTTGCTTTGTCACTGAGGCTGGAGTGCAGTGGTTTGATCTCTGCTCACTGCAACCTCTGCCTCCTGGGTTCAAGCTATTCTCATGCCTCAGCTTTACGAGTAGCTGGAATTATGGACGTTGGCCACCAAACCCAGCGAATTTTTTTTTTTTGTTTTGAGGTGGTGTCTCTCTCATTTGCCCAGGCTGGAGTGCAGTGGTGCAATATTGGCTCACTGCAACCTCCACCTCCCATGTTCAAGTGATTGTCCTGTCTCAGCCTCCCAAATAGCTGGTATTACAGGCGCCAGCCACCATACTCAGCTAATTTGTGTATTTTTAGTAGAGCCGGGGTTTCACCATGTTGGCTAGGCTGGTCTTGAACTCTTGACCTCAGGTGATCCGCCAGCCTCAGCCTCCCAAAGTGCTGGGATTACAGGCCTGAGCCACCAATCTTGCCTTCATTCATTTAATACACACGATGTACTGACTACCTGTTTGTATGCCAGGCTCTGGAGATAAAAATGTGAATGGAACATGGTTTCATGTCGGAGAGCTCTTGATCTAGCTAGACAGACAACCCAGTGTGTATCCCAATTAAGAGACCATGAAAGGCTCTGTGGAACATTAAGAGATTGTGGAACAGAAGGAAGAATATCTGCCTGGCTGGCAAGGTCATGGAAGGCAAAGATGGGGAAAGGCTGTTACAGAAGGTATAGAAAGAGGCAGAAAACTGATGAAATCTCCACCCTGCCTCTTACCTGATTAATATCGTACTCAACCTTCCTGAATTGTAGTTTCCTCATTCTTTTAAAGAGCTTAATTATATTACCCTTTGGGGTCATTTCAACCATCCATTAATTTCATTCAACAAAGATTAATTGAGTGCCTGCTGTTGCTAGGTGCCAGGCGCTGTTCTAGGCTCTGGGAGTAAAATGGTAAAGAAAAAAAGAGAGGTGGCTCCTGCCTTCGTGGAATTTAGGACCAGCCCCTAACTCAAGGGTCCCCAACCCCCGGCCACAGACCAGCACTAGTCTGTGGCCTGTTAGGCTCCTGGGCCACATAGCAGGAGGTGGGCCATGGGCCAGCGATCATTACCTCCTGAGCTCTGCATCCTGTCAGTTGACCACGGCATTAGATTCTTTTAGGAGCGCGAACCATACTGTGAATTGCGCACGGAAGGGATCTAGGTTGCTCGCTCCCTTTAAGAATCTAATGCTTGATGATCTCAGGTGGAACAGTTTCATCCGGAAAGCATTCCTCCACCACGAAACCGGTCCCTGATGCCAAAAATGTTGGGGACTGCTTGTCTAGTGGTATTAAAGAAAGTGAAATAGCAGCACTAAGGAATAAATCAGAAGTTGAATTAAGGGTTCTGAATGAGGGAAACACACTTGCGCTGAGAGCTGAAGGTTGTGTAGAAGCCAACTGTGCAGAAAGGGAATGCGGCGGCGTCAGGGAGAGAGTCAATGTAATTTCAACCGTCTGGCTTATAGTAGCAGCTGAAGTTAAAAAATCATTAGAATCCGGCGTGGTGGCACGTGCCTGTAATGTCACTTACCTGGGAGGCTGAAGCTGGAGGATCCCTGTAACCCAGGATTTTAAGACCAGCTTGGGCAAGAGAGCGACCCGCTGTTAAAAAAAAAACAAAACCAAAAAAAACCCCACTATTATGTAGGAACAGTTCTAAGTATTTTACTTGAGTGATCCCGTTTAATCATCACACCTCTTGAAGTACATGCTTATCTCCATTCCTCAGAGTGGACAGGAAGGCACGGAGAGAAAGAAGTCTTTCCCAAGGTCACTGTTCTTGAGCAGGGGAGGCAGAATTCCAGCCTAAGCAGAGTCCATACGTTGTGTACCAGCTACACAATGAATAACGGCGTAAAGCTGCCCACGCATAAAAAGCCGCTCTGAACCGGCGCGGTATCACGCCTGTAATCCCAGCATTTTGGGAGGGCGAGGCAGACTGATCGCTTGACACCAGGAGTTTGAGACCAGCCTGGGCAACATGGTGAGACCCAGTCTCTACAAAAAATACAAAAATTAGTGTAATCCCAGAACTTTGGGAGGCCGAGGCAGGCGGATCACGAGGTCAGGAGTTGGAGACCAGTGTGGCCAACATAGTGAAACCCCAATCTCTTCTAAAAATACAAAAAAATTAGACGGGTCTACACCTGTGGTGTGCGCCCGTAATCCCAGCTACTGTATAGGCTGAGGCAGGGCAGTCGCCTGAACCCGGGAGTCTGAGGTTGCAGTGAGCCCAGATCTCGCCTTTGCACTCCAGTCCAGCTACTCTGAGGAGGAGGACTGCACGAGCCCGGAGAGGCCTAGGGCTGTGCCCAGACCCTATTACATACAGATAGATGCAGCGTGAGGAGGATTGTACCCAGACCCTATTACATGTAAATACATGCAGCGTGAGACCCTGCTTCAGGCACAAAAACCGCCGCGCTGAGAATGAGCCCCGTGTGGTTGGTGCGCCGAAACGCACTGCCTGCGTAACTAGAGTTAACTGACGGACGACGCCCCGCACCACGCCGCTCAGCGAGACGTGCTTCTTGGCGGGTTTTGCAGTGGGAAGCGGGGAATATCTACGTGCCTTGGCACGCGGCACTCTCTGCCCGAGGTCCGGGGACTTTCCCCTAGGCAGGGATCAGAGGAACAAGTCCCCAGTGTGTAGCCTAGGATACAGGCCTTCAGCACGCCGTATGCTTACGACGTCCTGAGGTAGCATTTTATAGACCTGAAAAAAAATTTCATTTTAAGAATAGGGTGAGAAAGTTAGTGGCGTGATATAGAAAAGCAAACCACTTTTGGGTATACCTTTCTAAGATTATAGGTTTCTAGTGGCATTGTGGCTAGCAGAATAGCTTAACTAGATAAGAAAAAGCAAAGGGAGGGAAGCTAGAATATCTTATGCAAATAAAGTCTTGCCCCGCCCTACGGGGAGTGGGCGTGCCTCCCTGGAAGGCCCGGAGAGGGCCTAGTCGGTGCGCGTGCGCACTGGGGCGGCCAGCCACAGCCTCCGCACCGTCTTCCTGATCCTTCTACCTTTGGGCCGGTCATGGCGGGCGCGGTCTCGCTCTTGGGTGTGGTGGGGCTGCTCCTTGTGTCTGCGTTGCCCAGGGTTCTCGGAGACCGCGCCAACCCCGACCTTCGGGTACACCCAGGTACCAGCGAGGACTGCTGGAGTAGGGCTGGGACTGCATGCGGGTCCCAGGCCCCAGCTCGGCTGACTCGCCTCTGTCCTCCCTCCGCAGGGAACGCAGCCCACCTTGGCTCTGGGGCCACAGAACCCCAGCGGCGACCGCCGCTCAAGGACCAGCGCGAGCGGGCCCGGGCCGGGTCGCTGCCTCTGGGGGCACTGTACACCGCAGCCGTCGTGGCTTTTGTGCTGTACAAGTGTTTGCAGGTGGGGACCGCCGGGAGTGGGGGTGCCCTGAGCGTGAATCTCCCATTGGGAAGCCAGGGTACCAAGAAGAATACACAGCTTCCCTGTCTGTAAAATGAAGACAATAGTCCGTTGGTTCTCCAACATTATGGGGTTATTTTGAGGATCCAGGGGGGTAACGGATGTGGAGTGTGTAGTGAACTGTAAATAAATAATGACCATCACATTTAGTTCTCCCACAATCCAGTAAAGAGTAGTCACTTGCTCGAGGTCACCTAGTGCTGGCAACTGTTGAAGCTGGGATTTGAACCCAGCTAGCAGTGTCCATGCTACAACAGTGGGGCCAACTTTGGCACAGGAGGTTGGTTGTTGCAGCCAGTGTTTCTAGAGTTCAAGACATCAGGTGGTCTCATGTTCTCCTTGGGATGGAGGCCCTGAAATGTAAGTTGACAGTACATTTTGGAAAGTAGTAGCCAGGGCTGTATATATCTTTAGCCCTGACCCTATTACGTACTTGCATTATAAAATACAACCGATGGAACCAGTTTAGATGTATGAAACTAGAAGAGACAGCTAATAATGACCCCAGGTAAATGTGACAGGCTAGGATGAATGACTGAATTTAATGAAGAACTTTGAGAAGGATAGACTAGTAAATTCTGTTCTTGGACCCGAGTACAATCTGGAAGAAACATAACATAGCAGTAGCTCTTATGAAAGACACTTAGGCATTCCAGTTGACTAAGAAATTCACTGTGGGATATGACAACCCACTTCCCAAATCAAGGCTGGGAACATGGCACTGTGTTTCACCTGCCCATCAGAACGACCCTGGAGAATTGTATTCTTCTCAGGGCACTGCTTTAAAAGCACTACAAGTTCAGGAAATAACCAGAGAGAACCACAGGCAGTGAGCACTGACTGAAAAGACTGAAGTTATTAAACTAGAAAAAAACTCAGGAAAGGGGGCAAGGGTGTGACCATTGTCTTCAAATTCCTGAGAGGCTGTCACGTTGAGAAGACATTATTTTGGAAGGCTCCAGTCAGCACATGAAGGACAAATTTTGGCTTTGTGTATGAACTGTCTAACCACCAGAGCTTTTTTTTTTTTTTGGAGATGGAGTCTAGCTCTGTTGCCCAGGCTGCAATGCAATGGCATGATCTTGGCTCACTCCCAGGTTCAAGCAATTCTCCTGCCTCAGCCTCCCAAGTAGCTGTGATTACAGGCACGTACCACCATGTCTGGCTAATTTTTGTACTTTTAGTAGAGACAGGGTTTCACCATGTTGGCCAGGCTGGTCTCAAACTCCTGACCTTAAGTGATCTACCTGTCTCAGCCTCCCAAAGTGCTGGGATTACAGGTGTGAGCCACCATGGCAAGCCACCAGAACTATTTTCAAACTGGAGAGAGTTGCTCATTCCTGGAGGTGTTTCAGCAAACTGAATGGCCATGTGTGGGACATGGGACATGTTGTTTCATGTGCTAGGTGAGGAACTAGACTCAGATTGTGATTCTCTGAGGTAAAAACCCAGTCACTGTCTCCACCTCAAATTACACTCTCTCCTAGCTGGCTGCAGAGACTGAGGTGATAGAGCCGAACCTTGTTGTTTCAGCACTGCCCTTTCCTTCTTCCACAACAGGGGAAAGATGAAACTACAGTTCTCCACGAGGAGGGAGGCAAGCAGCAGCCACTGCAGTCAGGTGGGTTCAGCAGAAGTCTGTACTTGGTAGGGGGAGATTAGGGGACAGCATAAGATATGTAACCACTTCTTCCCCCCTTTTCTCCATTATCCCCAGAGCAACAGCTGGCCCAGTTGACACAACAGCTGGCCCAGACAGAGCAGCACCTGAACAACCTGATGGCCCAGCTGGACCCCCTTTTTGAGTGGTGAGGAGAGCAATGATTCTATGAATTTTGGGGAAATTTGTGGCAGGAGGGAGGAATGGGGACATAAGTTGGGCAGCCACTGATTGACATTTCTTCAGTGTGACTACTCTGGCTGGAGCCCAGCAGGAGCTTCTGAACATGAAGCTACAGACCATCCACAAGCTGCTGCAAGACAGCAAGCTGGACAAGGGTATGGAGGCTTCAGAACCAGGTGAAGGCTTGGGAGGTGAGCCTGCTGAAGGTGGAGACAAAGTGTCCGAAACTGGAACATTCCTGATCTCTCCCCACACAGAGGCCGGCAGACCTCTTCATGAGGACTTTTGTTTAAAGGAGGATGAGGAGGAGGCTGGCGACAGTCAGGCCTGGGAGAAGCCCATAAACTGGAGCACAGAGACATGGAACCTAGCTACTTCCTGGGAAGTGGAGCAGGGGCTGCGGAGAAGGTGCAGCCAGGCTATGGCAAAGGACCCCAGTCACAGCCCTGGCAGGGAAGGAGGGATGACAGCTGAAGGCTGAGTAAAGCAAAGTCTGTTTTTGTGATGGGATGCTCCTGTGTGTTTTTTCCATCCTAGCTGGTTGTACATACCCATACTAGGTGCCTAAGGACAACTGGGCCCTCCTGAAAAGCTGCCCTTATTAGGAAAAAAAGAGGCTGCCTTCCAGTGTGAGAGCAGAGAAGATAGAGGGAGCTCCAGTTCTTTTCCTTGTATTCCTGAGGCCACCAGCATGCCAGTGTTCAGGGCCCAAAAATCCCTTTTTTCATAGCAAAACTGAAACTGAAAGGTCTTTCCAAAAAAAAAAAAACTTTACTCAAATCCAATGGAAAAATGATAGAAACTATACACAACATAAAAATAGCCACATTTACAAAGCAGCAACCTTGATAAATGACCATGGACACAGCACAGAGCTTACCAGTCCCAGATCCCCTCTCTGTGTTAGGGGCTGGTTCAGCCGAGGTTCAGTTGGGTCAGACTTGGTTTCCTGATTCTTCTTTCTTTACAAAATTTCTTCTTAATGATTTTTTTCTTAAATGGAGGCAGGGTCTCACTCACTGTGTTGCCCAGGCTAGTCGTGTACTCCTGGGCTCAAGTGATCCTCCCACCTCAGCTTCCCAAAGTGCTGGAATTACAGGCATGAGCCATTGCAGCTGGCTGTGATTCTAAGAGTTGGGTCAAATGACCTGGAATAGCTTGGTCCAGGCAAACACAAAGTAACCTTTGTCAAATAGTGAAGGGCTCTGTTTTGTCCAGTACTGAAGAAGATTCCTTTGTACTCCTGGCTGTGACCTGTCCCTGAGGTATCCTGAGTTCTGGAATCTCTAAGATTCCTCTAGTTTTTCCGGCCACTGTGGAGAGACGACAGTCAGTTCAGGCCTTGGCATGAGTGCTCTATTCAGACAAAATCATCTGTGGGGTTGATGGAGGGGGAGAGTGCCAGACCAATGTAGGGCATGAGACAAGAACTGCCTATTTCCTGTTTGTAGGCCTTATCACAGCACCCTTCCTGGGGGAAGACACAACTTACTTGATAGCCCAAGTCAGACTGTGGTACCAGTGTGCCAACTCTTCCTGGTCTGTGGACATAAGCAGTAGCTTCTCATGAGGGAAGGACAGCTAGGGAGAGACCACCTCTTAGCGCATGGCTCAGAAAGGTCCAGGCTAAAGCTGAAGCCCTTGCTGTTTCCATGGAGGGAATTTGGGGATAAGACAATGACTAGGTATGAAGCACAAGCCCCAGCTATCCTCTCTCAGTGTAGGTGGCTCTGTTCCTATGAAAAGGGACCTTGACCAGGGAGATAAACCAGCCCATAAGCATCTGAGACATATTTTGGGCCTAGGGTTCCCACCTATTACTTACACTGAGCAACCCACCGCAAGGGCCTCCTGAGTGGCCAAAGACCCTGCGGAGTTGACACTGGGCCATGGGGTAGAGGGCCTTGCAGGCAAAGGTGCCACTCTGCAGCAGGTGCAGTGGAGGTCGAGGCTTGGCCATGAGGAGCACATCAGTGAAGAGGAAGAACATGCGGGGCCGAGGCTCCCCATGGAGAGGCACCACCAACAGCCAGCCCTGGCGGAGGAACCAGCGCCCTGGGGGATGGGAGCACTGTTACCCTGGTGCTCCGGGATCCATGGGAATAAGAGGAAAGAGAGGCTCAGAGAATAGGGAGTATGTGCTAGGTCAATAGAGGAAGGGGGTGAGTAAGAAAAGGGCAGCTGGTTGGCATTTTAAGAGTCATAAAAATAAAAGGGGCAGTTGAGGATTGAGGGGGAAGTAGGCAGGCTACCTGAGGTCAACCCCTTTGCCTGGCGTCCACTGAGCAGAGCCTGGACGCGCCGAAGGTGCTGGTCATTCTTCTGTTTCTGACCAATAGCGTGGACTCTCTGGGCAGTCTCACTTATTAGCCGGGCAGCCCCTGGAATAACATCTCCCACCTTACTCCCCATATAACTTTGACTTTGGGTAGCATGGTGGTGAAAGAGGTTATTCTGGGAGGGAGCAGGGTCAGTGTATGACTTCTTGAAGAAAACGCAGAGCAGTAGGGACACTGTATACATGTCAGTGGAAGACAGGGTCATACCAGACACTGTTGGAGGTCAGAATCAGAAAGGGATACAGGAGAGGAAGCCTCCAACCTGTGTTGCAGAGGAGCAAGAACCTACGTGTGAGCTGTTGATGCTCAGGGCTGTTGGGACCTGTGTTTTCAGCCAAAGCAATGACGAGATTCTCATACCTGGAATTCAACAGTGGAAAGTCTGAGGGGAAGCAGAGCCAGGCAAAATTTCCCCTGCCTGATGCACAGATCACCAGCTACCCATATTTCAATCGCAAGGCAGGAAAGATCTGCTTCTGGCTACTGTATCCCCTTCTTTCATCTGGGACTCAGAACCAGGGCTCACACCACACAGCCCTCTTCTATCCCACACTGAAGAATCAATGGCAGACTAACCATAGTTCAGGAGGCCAGATAGGAAGATGAAAGTTTATCAACCCAAGGAGGATGCTACAGACAGCCTGGCTATAGCCCGTAACTCAGGCTTAACCCAGGGACAGAAATTCTAAGCCAGGCCTGCCCATCTTTGAAACTTTTCCAGAAAATGTGCATCAGGCCCTAGTACAGGCCCCCTCACTTTAATGTAAAGTTCCACTGTTCCAGCTAAGGGCCTCAAGCTACAGATCCTGGGTGCTCCAGTGGGCTCACATATACTCTTGCAAAAGGTTTTTAGAAGCAGTTTGCCCCAGGGGAGAGGCAGGAGTTTGGGATAGACCCCAAGGCATCCCACAAAGCTGAGGACAGCAGTCATACAGACTCAAAGAGAGAGGCAGCTGGAATCAAGGGAAGTTCACTCACTGCTGGAGCCGCTGAAGAGGCAGAGGGAGCAGGTCTTGCAGCTGAAGGCCCCCAAACTCAGGGCGGCCTTCCTGAAGGCGCACAAACCTCCGGAAACCTTTATTTTTCTTTAGCTGCTCCTGGAGTGAGGAAGAAAGGATTGGAAGCAGAGAGGAAGCCACACCTTATATTGCATTCATCTGTATCCACATTCCCAGCCTTCAGTAAACTGTGTGCTCCTGAAAGAAACCCTGTCTCCCTACAGGGAACTTGGCACAGAGCTGGGCACTCAGCAGGCTCTATAAATGCAGGAAATACATGAAGCTTCGGTCTCCAGATGAAGGGGAAAGGTAAGGGGGGCAAGAGAGAAAGGGGAAACATTTGAGGTCATCTCCAGGTTACCTGCAGGGTAGTCTGGGACCTCTCTGAGTTGGCAGCAAATTGGTTATAGAGCTCCAGGTGGCGGCAGAAGCCCTCCAGCCCTTGGCCCCAGTGTCCTTCTTCCAGGTAGGGAAGCAGCTCTCTGTGTGGGTGAGGACAGCAAAAGGGCAGCTCTAGAACCACTCAAGTAGCACCTCATTTAGTTTTCATGAGAATTAACAGCACTAATAGTAGTGCTATGACCCCATTGTACAGATGGAGAACCAGGGCAGGCTAAGGCACTGAGCCAAGGCCACAGGTGAGGTAACTGGCGACTCCGAACAGAACCTGAATCTCTGACTGCAAGCTCTGTGCATGGCCACAGGCCAGGGCTCTCCCTCCATTCCTCTCCCCGAGCCCCTTCCACTCACTGGCTGGCGCCGTAGATGAGCTCCCAGGATCCAAACAGGGCCTGGCGCTCAGATGGTCGCAGGGTCCCCTTGGCTTTCAGGATCCGCAAAAAGTACTGCGGAAGGAGAGAATACTGGCATCCTAGCCTGGAGGAAGAGGAGGCTAACACCAAGCGCCCCCAGAAACCACAGAAGTCTGCCCAAGCTCCCTACATGCAGTGGTTACCGACCTCGCAGAGACCCTCCCACACCCTGGGGTCCCTGTCCCATAATAGGAGTGTATGCCAGGTCCCCCACCGTGGCCACCAGCCCCAGCTGTTCTTGGTAGCGCCGTTCGGTCTCTAGTAGCTCCCGGGCAGTGCAGGCGCGTTTCCGCTCCCAGCGGGCACGCTGCTCTTGCACCGGGCACCGCGCGCCGGAGCAGAGGATCTCCATGCCTGCCTGAGGGATCGATATTTCCGGCCGCAACCCGCGGCAAATTCAAATCCCAACAGCTCACAGGCGGGAGCCGCGGAGGCGGGACCGGGGAGGGCAGGGCGCGAAGGAGCATGCGCAGCGGCCGGCCAGCCGGCGGCACAAAACCGCGTCTCTTCCGTCCAACCACAGCGCCAGGGCGGTGCTTTAGTTGCGCGGCGCCGTCCGGGGCAGGGTGGGGTAGGGCAGGTGTGAGGCCCTCCTCTGATTGGCACTAAGTTGGGGTAGCAGCCTGGACTTTGAGTCAGGAGACGGGCTGCAGATGCTGACAGGAATTTAGTGTCCTGTCTGGAGAACTGGGACGGGGGGCGATCATTACAGTACACATTGTGTTCTGGGCCCATGCCGGATGCTAGGGGGTCAGTTCTTCCTAGAATTGGCTAGGAAAATGTATAGCCATTTGAAGGAATGATATGAAAGTATTTAAAATGGTGTTGTAAAGAAGCTATCAATATGGGAAAACGCACATAGTAAGTATATTGCTGAGAGGAAAAAAAGCAGGCTACAAAGGTGTACAATATGATCCCCTTTGTATATAATATATTTAAAATGTTGGAAGGCGAAAGAATCAAAAGTTAACTGTGTGGTCGGACGCGATGGCTCACACCTGTAATTCCAGCAGTTTGGGAGGCAAAGGCAGGAGGAGGATCGCCTGAGCCCAGGAGTTTGAGACTCCATCTCTGAAAAAAAAAAAAAAAAAAAAGTTAACTAGTTTTTATCTCTGGGTAATAGAATTGAAGATAATCATTTAACAAATGTGTACTAAGTACCTAATCTGTGCCAGGTACTGACTGGATCACTGAAGTTAAAGGGATGAATGGGACACATAGGGTGATTTTAAAAATTCTCTCATACTGCCGGGCGCGGTGGCTCAAGCCTGTAATTCCAGCACTTTGGGAGGCCAAGGCGGGTGGATCACGAGGTCAAGAGCTCGAGACCATCCTGGTCAACATGGTGAAACCCCGTCTCTGCTAGAAATACAAAACATTAGCCGGGCATGGAGGCTTAGAAGGAATTTATATCAGTAAAATTGTGATATAAGTAAAAATAAATTCAGAGTGGCTAAACATTAGAATAATTTATTGACTCATGCAACTGAAAAGTCCAGAAGCAGGTGGGCCCTAGTGTTGGCCTAATCCAGCAGCTCAATCATATTACCAAGGGCCTCTTTCTACCACTCCACTGTGCCTTTCGTGGTTTTACCTTCATCTTAAGGCTGGCTTCCATTATGGACACAAGATGGCTGCCCACAGTTATAATGGCTGTGTACTTCTTTATAGGTTGTCCAGTTGGTTCCCTTAGCCATCAAATACTTCAGACAGAGAGCTTCACTGATTGGACCCCACTAAGTCACAAGACCCCTATGGAAACCAGGGCAATGGTGGCCCTCTGAAGGCCACATCAGGTACTGTGAACCTTACCCTAAGAGCAATGGGAAACCATTGAAAGGCCTTAAATGGAGTGAGATCATGAGATGTGCCACTTAGAAACATTGCTCTGGCTGGCTGGACTCAGCAAGACCCATCAGGAGGCAGTTGCAGTCATCCAGGTAAGAGGTGATGAAAGTGTGAGCCAGGATGAAAAATGTGGATGAAAAATTTAGAAGATAGAATCTATAGGGCATGCTAGAGTGAATTATTGAATGCTAGGTGAAGGAAAAGGCGAAAGCAGAGATGGTACCAGGTTTCTGGTTGAGGCTTCCAGGTAGAGGGTGGTGCTATTCACTGAAGGAGGATGAAGAGGAGGTTGTAGGGAAAACAAATTCAACCTGGGGCCTGTTAAACTTGAAATACTTGTGGGACATCCAAGTGGAGATGTTTTGGGTCTTGTCTATCAGGCAGATGGTTATGGGTCTGACATGGGGAAGAGTGTCCAGCCCGGGAATACTTGGTTATAGGAGCCATGGGAGTGGGTGACACTGCCTTGCAAAGAATATGGAGCAGGATAAGGGTAAAAGCATGAGAGTCTTCAATACAAACTCATCCCTTCTCATCCTGTGCATCCACTTCAGTTCGACTGCACTGATGGTGGACTAAATGGTGGCCCTGTAAAGACATGTCCATGTCCTAATCCCCAAGACTTGTATATGTGACCTTATTTGGGAAAAGGGTTTTTGCAGACATAATTAGTTAAGGATCTTGAGATGAGATCATTCTGGATTATGCTGGTGGGCCCTAGATCCAGTGACAAGTGTTTCAATGAGACACCCAGTGGAGTCTCAGGGGCAAGAGAAGGCCATGAGAAGTTGGAGCCAGACATGGAGTAAAGCAGCTACAAGTCGAGGAATTCCTGGAGCCACCAGAAGCTAGAAGAGGCAAGGAAGGATTCTGCCCCAGAGCCTTCAGAGAGAGTCCGGCCCTGCCAAAACCTTGATTTCAGACTTCTGGCCTCCAGAACTGTTAGAAAATCCATTTCTGCTGTTTTAAGCCACCCCATTGGTGGTAGTTTGTTATAGCAGCCCTCGGAAATGAATATAGATGGGGAGGCAGCCAGAACTACAAGTCAGCCTCAAGGTTCTACAAGGAATTTGATCAGTCTTTGCCCCCAAGCCATGGCTTGAGAGAGGGAGCATTTTCCCTTCCACCCCACCAACGAATAACTTCCTCCTCCGTCATGCTGGGATAGGCAGAGACATGTTTTAGTAACATGACCCCTCAGTGTTTGAAAACACAAACTCTCATGAACAAAGACTTGGCCTTTACTAACCACAGAGAGGTCCTGAACCAGGTGTGGGGTGCCCTGGTCATTCAGTCCTGGGTACACTCTGTCCCAACCTGGGAGACTCAGTAAAAAAATAACTCAAACCTGTTTGAGGATTTGGCAGACTCCCAGCATGATCCAAGGTCATAGTCCACATTTTCAACCCAGACCAGAGACACAGAGAGAGAAAAGGAGAGAAGCAGAGCCATAGGGAATAATATTTGGAAAATAAGTGAGCTGTAACAGAGAGCTGGATTAGTTGTTACCACATTCTGTCTTGTATAGGCCCATCCAATACAGATATGACCATGTCCTTCCATGTGTCAGAGCCAAGCAAGATCCAAGCTAATGACAGAGATGACCAAGACAATCAGCTGGCCATCCAGAGTGTACCTGGACTTCACTGCCGTAGACAGCTTTGAATTTGGCTCCAGAAATGGTACCCTAGAATCTAAGGCTGACTCTTTCTGAAGATGACCATTTGTAGGACAGCTGTTATTCAGCCATATATATTTTGGTGTACCATATGACAGTTATTCTGACAACACAGATGATTTAGAGTGTCACAAAAATGTGGTGTCAGGCCAGGCATGGTGGCTCACGCCTATAATCCCAGCACTTTGGGAGGCTGAGGTGGGAGGATCACTTGAGGTCAAGAGTTCAAGACCAACTTGGGCACTATAGCAAGCCACCATCTCTACAAAACAAGTAAAAAAGAAATTAGCCAGGTGTGGTGGCTTGTGCCTGTGGTCCTAGCTACTCAGGAGGCTGACACAGGAGGATCACTTGAGCCCGGGAGGTCAAGCCTGCAGTGAGCTATGATGATGCCACTGCACTCCAGTCTGGGTGGCAGAGTAAGACCTTGTCTCAATAATAATAATAATTTAAAAAGTGATGTCATGTTTACAGGATAGTTGTGGTCTGACATACACAGGTCATTGACAATGAGCTCCCTGAGGGCAGAGGATATATCTTAGTCAATTTGGTATTTCTCAAGCACCTGGCAAGGTGATCTACAAAGAGAAAATGCTGAATAATGGCTGTTGAATAAAAGACTGACTCGGTCAAGTACTGGACCCTGCCCTTATGGAGCTGAAGGCCATTAGAGCAGATAAAATGTCATAAATCACCCTAATATGAGTTTGATGGTGGGCAAAGTTATTATTGAGGGAAGGCAAAGAACTGGGTTGGGTCAAAGACACCAGAGATCTTTTCCAGACTAGTGGTAGATGGTTGGTTAAGGAGTTTCCTGAAGGAGGTGGCCTTTCATCTGAGTCTCGAAGAATAGAAAGGATTAGACAGGGAGGACAATAAAACTATTTTTAACACAGCAGCACGTGCACAATCACTGACCCATCAGAGTTGAAGATCTGACAGACTCCCTGCATGATTCAGGATCAGAGTCCACATTTTTCTGATTCTGGCACTCAAGTGCTGAGGTACTCAAGTGGGGTCCTAGGGTCCCTGTTATGCCAGGCGTTGTCACTTTAGATAAGGGATCAGGAGGTCTGGAGGGTCCCTAAAGAAGAGCTAGGTTAGCAGGGATACCCTGGAGCTAGGGGCCATGGCTATATGCCAACAGAATTAGAAATATTTCAATATACTTAAATAACCAACACAACTATATTGGTGTGTGCCTACTGAATACTGGCCCTAGATATGGACCTGGAATGGCCTTATTCTCTTGCGATTTGTTGAAGCCAATGGAACCTTACTAGAATGTGAGCTACAAAACAGTAGAGCTGTTCTGTATTCAATGCTGCGTCTGTAGGGCCTAGAATCCAGCACCTGAAGAACTGCAAGAGGCTTCATAAATTGTTTGATAAAAGGGCAAACTAGCCAGGTGTGATGGCACGTGCCTGCAGTCCCAGCTACTTGGGAGGCTGAGGCAGGAGGATCCCTTGATCCCAGGAGTTCTGGACTGTAGTGTAGTATACCAGTCAGGTGTCTGCACTAAGTTCTGCATCAGTCAGGTTGCCCAAGGATGGTTGAACTAACCCAGGTGGAAATTGGGGGAGGTCAAAACTTCAGCACAGTGCTGATCAGTAGCAGGATTGCACCTGTAAATAGCCACGGCCCTCCAGCTTAGGCAACATAGTGAGATCCTATCTCTAAAATAAATTTAAAAACTAATTAATTAGGAAAAAAAAACAACAATAGCCTGTAATTCCAACACTTTGGGAGGCCAAGGTGGGCAGATTACCTGAGGTCAGGAGTTCAAGACCAGCCTGGCCAACATGGCAAAACCCCATATCTAAGAAAAAAAAATTATCTGGACATGGTGGCAGGTGCCTCTAATCCCAGATACTTAGAAGGCTGAGGCAGGAGAATCGCTTGAACCTGGAAGGTGGAGATTGCAGTGAGCTGAGATAGTGCCTGCACTCCAGCCTGGGCAAGAGTGAGATTCTGTCTCAAAAACAACAACAACTGGGAGCCCTAAGCCCATTCTTGGGGTCATCACACTCTTCTACCCCATCTCCTTGCACCTAGTCTTCCCCTGCAATCCATGCTCCATACTAGCCCTCGACATGACCTAGTATGAGAATTGGATTGTCACTCTCCTGCTCATAGTAATTTATGCCTCCCCTTTGCCCAGAATAGCATTCGCCCTATTGTTTTTACCAATTGAACTGGTATTTCTTCAAGGACATGATCAAATTTGCCTACTTCTATATTATCTTCTAAAACAGAATTAATCTCTCTTCCCTCAATATTATATTACGATATTGACAGGGTTTGCCCTCACTCACTAGGCTGCAAACTCCTCAGGGCAGGGACTTTTTTTCTTTCTTTCTTTTTTGAGACAGGGTCTTGCTTGTCACCCAGGCCAGAGTACAATGGCGCAATCTCAGCTCACTACAGCCTCAACCTCCTGGGCTCAAGCGATCATCCCACTTCAGCCTCCTGAGTAGCTGGGACTACAGGCACATGCCATTACACCTGGCTAATTTTTTGTAATTTTAGTAGACGGGGGGTTTGGCCATGTTGCCCAGGCTGGTAACTCCTGACCTCAGGTGATCCACCCACCTAAGCCTCCCAAAGTAAGAGA